CCCTGTATGACCAGTGTCAGAGCCTGGTCCACATCGCCGGCAGTAAGTCGGGCTTGTTCCCGGTGAGAGATGGACTCCGCCAAGGTTGCCCTTTGTCACGATTCTGTTCATAACTTTTAATGGACAGAATTTCTAGGCGTAGCCAAGGTGTTGAGGGGATCTGTTTTGGTGGCCTTAGGATTGTGTCTCTGCTTTTTGCAGATGATGTGGTCCTATTGGCTTCATCAGATCATGATCTACAGCTTTCGCTGGAGTGGTTCGCAGCCGAATGCGACGCGGCCGGGATGAAGATCAGTTCCTCCAAATCCGAGGCCATGGTCTTGAGCCAGAAAAGGGTAGAGTGCCCTCTCTGGGTCAGGGAGGAGGCCCTACCCCAAGTGGAGGAGTTCAAGTATCTTGGGGTCTTGTTCACGAATGAAGGAAAAATGGAGCGTGAGATCGATAGGCGGATAGGTGCAGCATCTGCAGTGAAGCAGGCGCTGTACAGGTCTGTCGTGGTGAAGAGAGAGCTGAGTCAAAAGGCGAAGCTCTCAATTTACCGATCGATCTACGTTCCTACCCTCATCTATGGTCACGAGCTTTGGGTTGTGAACGAAAGAATGAGATCTCGGATACAAGCGGCCGAAATGAGTTTTCTCCGCAGGGTGTCTGGGCTCTCCCTTAGAGACAGGGTGAGAAGCTCGATCATCCGGGAGGGACTCAGAGTAGAGCCGCTGCTTCTCTACGTCGAGAGGAGCCAGTTGCGGTGGCTTGGGCATCTGTTTAGGATGCCTTCTTGACGTCTTCCGGACACATCCCACCGGGAGGAGACCCAGAGGAAGACCCAGGACACGCTGGAGGGACTATGTTTCTCGGCTGGCCTGGGAACGCCTCGGGATTCCCCCGGAAGAGCTGGCCCAAGTGGCTGGGGAGAGGGAAGTCTGGGCCTCCCTACTTAGGCTGCTACCCCCGCGACCCGACCCCGGATAAGCGGAAGAAAATGGATGGATGGATTTTATTGTTGGATGTAACTGGGACCCTGTGTTCATAATTTTGATCCACCACATGTACCACGTGGTGCGAATGACAATAAAGAATATCTGTATCTGTATAATACTTTCTGATTCATATATCCATTGTTATTATTATATTATTTTCATTATTTTTAAATCCATTAATTTTTTTATTTGATCAGTTTCTTATTATTAATATATCTATTATAGCTGTTAGCTGCACCTTTCTTTGTTTTATGCATTTATTCAAAAACAGTATGTAGCTTCAATTAACCACCTTTTTCTTCTTTCTAGTGAAGAGAAAGAGAAAAGAGTCCAGTAAAGAAAAGTCTTATTTCATCACTGAATGAACATGAAGAACTGAAGCGGACACAGCAGGAACAACACTTGTGTCTTCTTCTGGATGAAGCCCGTGAGACAAGGGACACACAGATACACAATCATTAGTTGGACGCAGTAGTTTTTATTTTTCTACATTTTTCACTTCTTACTTTTCCTATTAAACAATTTTTTTCTTAAGTGGTGTCCTTGAACATTAAATTTCCTAAACAAATTTTACAATGTTAAGTTCATATAGTGTTTGTTTAAATTCATACTGGAAGTTGAGAAAAATGTCCAATTGCATTTGATCTTTAATGAATCCTAAGAAAATATTACCAGAATCTGCTCAACTGTTATTATGTTATAAATGTTTTGGTTCTAGGATGAAGTGAGACAAAAACTCAGAAAGGACAGTTATCAGTTATCATTTATCAGTTATCATTTATCAGTTATCAATTCAG